TCACAATTTGGAGTCTATTGACGTTTCCTACAATAGAATCAGTGGGAAAATCCCAGAGTGGTTATGGAGCCTCCCTCGTCTGAGCTCAGTGGTCATAACAAATAATTTGTTAACTGGCTTTGAAGGTTCATCAGAAGATTTAGTAAATTCATCTGTGCAGATCTTAGTTTTGAATTCAAACAAGTTGGAAGGAGAACTCCAACATCTACCACTCTCTATCAACTACTTCTCTGCATCTCACAATAGTTTAAGAGGCGACATACCTCTTTCACTCTGCAACAGAAGCTCGCTGGATGTCCTTGATCTAAGCTCCAACAAACTCACCGGTCCAATTCCTCAATGTATGAGTAACTTCTTGATTTTGAGACTCTGGAAAAACAACTTGGAAGGAAGTATTCCAGACAAGTGTGACGCCAACGCACCTCTACAGTCACTCGACGTGGGGTACAATCGATTAAGTGGAAAGCTTCCAAGGTCCCTTCTAAATTGCTCAGCTCTACAGTTTCTAAGTGTGGACCACAACAAAATCAAAGATACATTTCCTTTCTCCCTTAAGGCTTTATCGAAATTGCAAATCCTTATCCTCTGTTCGAACAAATTCTACGGTTCTATATCTCCTCCTAATAATGGTTCTTTGGGATTTCCTGAGCTGAGAATACTTGAGATAGCTGATAATAAATTTACCGGAAGCTTGTCCCCAGATTTTTTTGTGAATTGGAAAGCATCATCACTCACGATGAATGAAGATTTGGGTCAATATATGGTATATTCAAACTTTGTTTACGGGACCTTTGTAGTCTCCTATCGGCAACCCATGGATCTACATTATAAAGGTCTATCTATGGAGCAAGAGACAGTCTTTGCTTCCTACGCCACAATTGATTTTTCTGGAAATAGATTTGAAGGAGAAATTCCGGAATCTATTGGTCTCTTAAAGGCACTAATCGCACTCAACTTGTCGAACAACGCTTTCACTGGCCATATTCCTCTGTCTTTGGCCAATCTTATGAAGCTCGAGTCACTAGACCTCTCCAGTAACCAGCTCTCGGGGACTATTCCTAATGGACTAGGGGCTCTCTCGTTTTTGACGTACGTGAATGTGTCTCACAACAAACTCAATGGTGAAATACCACAAGGAACACAGATAACTGGGCAACCGAAATCGTCATTTGAAGGAAATGCAGGGCTTTGTGGTCTCCCTCTGGAAGAAAGTTGCTTTGGGACTAATGCATCATTAACACATGGGCGTAAAGAAGAAGAAGAAGATGAAAAAGAGGAACAAGTGTTGAACTGGAAAGGCGTGACAATAGGGTATGGGTTTGGAGTGTTACTTGGATTGGCAATAGCACAAATCATCGCTTCATACAAACCAGAATGGCTAATTTTTCTGATTAAGTTCGGAAACCGTTAAGATTTTCTTTTACTGGTTATGAGTTTGATCCTTCAAAATGTATGTCAAGTTGTTGTGTGTATCACTGTATTTTGTTGAAGCATTTTCTTACGTTTGTTGTATCTTAAATAATCTGATGCGTTTGTTTTTTTTTTGTTTTTCTATAAAGCAACATGATGAATTCTCTATAGCATTATTCATATACATATCTTTTGCCCCCCCCAAAAAAAAAAAAAGTTCGTATACAAAAAAGACCGCAGAGACGTATGGAAGAAGGTGAATGGGGAGAGATGAAACCGCAGAAGGAATTCAAAATTTAGATTGGAAACTACAATTAGAAACCATATCATCTAACATGATCACAAAGGTACCTAATATAAATATATGCAAAACCGAACATTTTAAATCTCTCTCCAAATACAAATATTCATATCCTAGTAAAGGATCATACCTCAGCAAAAAGAAATATGATCTATTAAAATATTTCTTCATTCTTAACAAAATCAAATGAAAAAATCTATTAAAAAAGAAAAAAGACAGCCAAAACATAATCTTGTGTTCTTGGGAACTCATTTTTGTTCTCGGGGTTTATAATCTTGTGTCTGTAAATATTAGAATTAAAAGATATAAGAGTGTAAAATTTAGAAAGGAGATGTATGTTTGTATCAAAAAGCTCCCATATGAGTGAAGGGTCAATTTATTACCTTGAAACACATTTTAGAGTCTTTAAGACGATAGACACATTACAATGCAACAATTCATGGTAAAAAACGTATATTGTTTTGAGCTTCACTTCCACTTAACCAAAGCTTCAATTACAATGCCTTCTCTATTGTCACAAACAAGCCAATACATATAGGTGAATGGAATCAGAACACCAAGAAACATTTATAGATCAAGATAAACCCTTAATGGGAAGAATTGTGACTTGTGACCGACAGGCGAGAATTGTGACTTGTGACCTTAGAACTTCCTAAGAGCCCATCAATAATGATGCTCAAGGCCATTTAAATAGCATCATGAATGCTTCAGTGGTTTCGAAAAACACCAAACCAGAACTCACATGCCTTCTCTTCCCTTCCCCACGTCACAAAGATCTAAACCAAGGAAACTTCCTATTCTGTTATAGCTGATGGTGCAGCTTAGTGTACGTATGTCATTATCAGTTGGTAATTTGTTGTAACATCTGTTTAACTGTCTTCTGTTTAGCTAAAAGCCTAAAACATAACGTGACCACTCTCACTTTGCCTTGTCACCAACTTCCGACATTTTTGGTACTCGACAAATAAATAAAAACGGCTAAAGCATCCAATGTGTTTGTCCTTATGCCAAATTTACTCATGTGACTTCGAACATATATGATCTGAGAAATCTCAAAGTGATGTGACCAATCCAGGTTATTCATTAGAAAAGTGGTTTGAGTGGCTATTAGCCACTTCTTAGCCATACTCTTCTCCAGTCCCGAATACAACAAAGACGACTTGACTTTAGCTCTATCTTCTTCCAAGTCAATTTGTGGTCTACTTTGCAAAACTACATCATATCTTTAGTTATACCAATCTACGCTCTCACATTTCTCATATCAAAATCCATTCTTTTGTAGAAGATTCTCATCATGACAAGTAATAATCTTCACCTATATATAAATTAATAACTTATCCGAAATCGAGAAAATAATCTAAGTTTTAAAGCATTGTTACTTTTAACTTGATAATACCAATTACAAAGAATTATAACAATTTAACTGTCTGTAAATCACTTTAAAATTCATTTCTACATCGTTATGCTTTTGAATTTTCTGATAGAACGTTGATTAGAGAAGAACACACTATAGTGATTAGGAAATATCATATTGACTCTCAGTAAGATTACAATAAAAACTACATAGGTTTATATAGAGAGGAAAATGCTAAACCTAAATGATCTAGTTCCCTAATATACATAAATACATAAATGAGATAATTATGAGAAATATATTCAAAGATACTCTGACTTATTCTACACACTTCTTTATTTTCTCTCTCTACTCTTGCTCTCTTGTGTCTCCCCTTCAAGCTCCTACACTATTAAAAACCATGTTGTTGGTCTTGTTGCTTAGTCCTCACCAGATTCAAGCCTTGTTACCAAGACAAATATTATCTAATTTGTTTGACAAAATATAATCATATGAAAATGAGAGGTGGAGTATAATAGTTTTTAATCGTTTAATTATACTTCTAAATTTCTACAAATGATTGTGTTTTATTTATTTATTTATTATTAAATAAAGGTTGGTGTTTTGATACAACAATATTCGTTGGTACTGGTTTTTATACTTGAATTATATATGTAGATACAGTTGGATATGTTCTAATATTGTGATTTGTGAAATGTAATTTGCAGCAAGATGGTCCTTAAATTCATAGCTAAGGTTTTGACAAAAGCATACAAGTACAAGAAGTTGCTTCATGTTGATCTTTGTCCTATGAAAAGTCGTGACATCCACAGACGCCTCACCGAAACACCAAGTATATGTTCTTTTAAATCCAATTGACAATAATTTGTGATAGTAAACCTTTTTTTTTGTTTTGCTTAAATTGTAGCATATTCTTTCTCATTGATGTTTTTGTTGGCATTGTCTATGTTCATATAGATTTGGTTGATTCTGTAGAGTTGTCTCATTAGTTTTATGGGACTATGATTTGTTGGTGTCTGAAATATGTATTGTTAAATAATTAATTGAACTTTGTATCATAAAGTCTCTTAGATTTTGTAAAAGGAAAATGCACGAATGTTCTCTATTCTTTTGGAAGGCAGTAGTTAGAAGTTTATTTTATACTTGCGTTGACAGCTTTGTTTTCAAATAAGGTAAAAGAAGAGGCATTTTAAGATTAAAAAATGGACGTTCGGAAATGTTAAATTCTTTTGGCTCTCTAAGATCATCAGTATTATTTGAAATGCAGCGATACCAACAAAAAAAATACATTAGAGGACAAAGAATAAATTGTAAGAAAGGTTTTATCGTAGTCTCATAAATCTGATATATCATAATAGAGAATAGCCAAAAAAAAATCGTAAATTAGATAAAAAGATGGTGTAGTTAGAGGATTATAATCAACTTTCCACACAAAAAACGTGATTTAATAATATAACTATTTTAAGTTTGCATTTTCCCGTGCGGCACCGCACGGGCCGATATCCTAGTAATAGTTAATAACAAATTAATATGATAAATTAGATATGGGTCAATATCATTTGGTAATTATTTTCTTGATTATAAGGAAGATTTAAAAAATGAAACAATCATCGGTTTAACGATTTTTTGTTAACTAAAACATCACGTTATCACTTTCACTTGCATCGTCACTAACTTTCGAAATTTGATAGTCAAGACAAACAAATCAAAACAACACCAGTTGTTCTTCGTAAAAGCACGTAGGGCTACAAAACGTTATCCAATGTGTTTGTCCTTGTGCCAAGTTTATTCATGTGTTTTTGTACATATATGTGAGATATTTCAAAAGTGAAGTGACCAATCCAAATTATACATTAGAAAGTAATCCAACGTGGTTTGAGTGGCTATTAGCCACTTCTTAGCCATACTCTTTTACAAGTCCGAACACAACAAAGACGACTTGACTTTAGCTCTAACTTCTAAGTCAATTTGTGATCCACTATGCAGAAATACATCATATCTTTATTTATGTCAATCCCCTCTCTCGCATTTCTAATATCAAACACCCATTCTTTCCTAAAAAGTTTTCATCATGTCTCAATCGCTTATGCGTTTGAATTTTCTCTTGCTTCTCTTACTCTCATGTGTCTCCCCTTCAATTTTCTTCACAGTTAAAAACCATGTTGTTGGTCTTGTTGCTTGTGGTCCTCACCAGATTCAAGCCTTTACACAGTTCAAGAATGAGTTTGATACTCATGCTTGCAACCATAGTGAATCCTTAAATGGAGTGTGGTGCGATAACTCCACAGGCGCGGTCACGAAGATACGACTCAGGGCCTGTCTCAGTGGAACTCTGAAACCCAACAGTAGCCTCTTCCAGTTTCATCAGCTCTGTTCCCTTGATCTCTCTCACAACAACTTCATCCTCTCTTCACTCCCTTCCGAGTTTGGAATGCTCAACAAATTAGAGGTCTTAAAACTTTTTTCTAATGGCTTCCTCGGCCAAGTTCCTTCCTCATTTAGTAACCTAAGCATGCTTTCTGCTTTAGATATTTCTGATAACGAGCTCACTGGTAGTTTATCTACACTAGTGCGGAATCTAGGCAAGCTCACAGTTTTAGATGTTTCTCGTAATCACTTCTCTGGAACTCTGAATCCCAACAGTAGCCTTTTTGAGTTGTACCACCTCACTGACCTTAATCTTGCTTTCAACAACTTCACTGCCTCTTCACTCCCTTATGAATTTGGCAATCTCAAACTAGAGGTCTTGTCTGTTACGTCTAATAGCTTCTTCGGTCAAGTTCCTCCCACAATTAGTAACCTAACCCAGTTAACTGAGTTGTACCTTCCCACAAACGACTTCACTGGTAGTCTCCCACTTTTACAAAATCTAACCAAACTGTCCTATCTAAGACTTTCTAATAATCACTTCTCTGGAACCATCCCTTCTTCTCTCCTCACCATGCCTTTCTTATCATATATTCATTTAGGTAGAAACAATCTTAGGGGTTCTATCGAAGTTCCTAACTCCTCTTCGTTGTCAAGGCTAGAGAGTTTGTACCTAGGGGAAAACCATTTTGAAGGAAAAATCCTAGAGCCTATCTCAAAGCTCATCAACCTCAAAGATCTCGACATTTCTTATCTAAAAACAAGCTACCCAATTGACTTAAGTCTCTTCTCCTCTCTCAAATCTTTGTTGCTCCTGGATCTTTCTGGTGTTTGGATATCTCAGGCTAGTTTAAGTTTGGATTCATACATCCCATCAACACTCGAAGCGCTGCGTTTGAAGCAATGCAACATCAGTGATTTCCCAAACATCTTAAAGACCCTTCAGAATTTGGAGTATATTTCCCTAACCAAAAATAAAATCAGTGGAAAAATCCCAGAGTGGTTATGGAGCCTTCCTCGTCTAAGCTCAGTGTTCATTGGAAAAAATTGGTTAACTGGATTTGAAGGTTCATCAAAAGTTTTAGTAAATTCATCGGTGCAGATGTTAATGTTGGATGCAAACAGTTTAGAAGGAGCACTCCCACATCTACCGCTCTCTATCAACTACTTATCTGCAAATGACAATTATTTCAGAGGCGACATACCTCTTTCAATCTGCAATAGAAGCTCGCTTGAAGTCCTTGATCTAAGCTACAACAATTTCACCGGTCCAATTCCTACATGTATGAGTAACTTCTTGATTTTGAGACTCCGGAAGAACAACTTGGAAGGAAGTATTCCAGACAAGTGTGACGCCAACGCACCTCTACAGTCACTCGACCTCGGATACAATCGATTAAGTGGAAAGCTTCCCAGGTCCCTTCTTAATTGCTCTGCTCTACAGTTTCTAAGTGTGGACCACAACAAAATCGAAGATACATTTCCTTTCTCTCTTAAGGCTTTACAGAAACTGCAAATCCTTATCCTTCGTTCAAACAAATTCTACGGCTCTATATCTCCTCCTAGTAATGGTCCTTTGGGGTTTCCTGAGCTGCGAATACTTGAGATAGCTGATAATAATTTTACTGGAAGCTTGCCCTCAGATTTTTTTGTGAATTGGAAAGCATCTTCACTCACGATGAATGAAGATTTGGGTCTATATCTTATATAATAAGACAAGGTTTCTTCTTAACTTTGCCTCACAACGCGACATGTGTCGCTCTATGCTTCTGACATGTGTCATTTTTATTAATTTATAATCTAACATTTTAATTTTTTTTTTTAATGATATTGTGTTGTAAGTTATATGTTATACGTATGGTTTGCTTTCTAAAAAATGTCATTGTTGCAAAAATATTTTTTTCCTAATTTTAGTTTCTAATTAAATTAAATATCATATAAGCTAAACATAAATGGAGTTGTTATAATTTTTTATTCAAAGAAAATTGCTATGACTTTTTTTTCCTACTACTTTAAAGATACATTTTTAAAGTTTGTTTTCCTACTCCTTTAAAGATACATTTTTAAAGTTATTAATATGGGTAATAAATTATTTATAACATAATTTCTAATTTTTAAAATTTAATTTATAAGAGAAGAATTAAAGAGATTAAAAAAAAATTTATTTAATTTTCTATTATCAAACAGTTGAGAAAATAATATAATGAATTTAAATCAAAGAATAACTATCATATTATTCACAAATTATATATATATATATATATATATATATATGTATTGGTCCACTTGGCATGTAACTTTTAAAAATATTATATATTTGATTCACACTTTAATATAAAACTGAAAAAAAAAACAAAGAAACCACAAAACACATTTAATCATATATATTAAACTCACACTTTAATATAAAAACGGAAATAACATAAATTTGCATTAACTATATTTTCCATTCAATTTTTTCAATACACAATCAATTATTATTGACTACCATAATTGTTTTATGAAATTGTAACTCCCATCACTTATCTTCCTATATATACTCATTTCCTCATTATATCATTTCCATCATTTGTTTGCTTTGTTTATTTTTGTTGTATGAGTTTTGAAAAAAAAAATTATTATATAAAATTTCAACTATAGAAACTTTTAGAGACTATATGATATATTGATATACATCTTACATTATCATAATTTATCTTTTTTTTTTGAAAATTCATCTCTATTTTCTATTTTTGATTATCAACATATAAGTACATTCACTCCCTCTCTTCCATTATATTCATGTATCTTTAATATTTTTTCTATTTTTTATGTTTTTTTTTGTTCTTATGTGACATAAAAATCAATGAAATAATCATTTTAAGAATTTGATATAAATATCTTTAGAAAGTATGATACAAATCTAACATAGTATCTTATATTAGTTCCAATCATCGTACAACAAGAGAATTAAGTTATAAATATCCATTTTTATATATGCATTTTTTTTTTTGATTATGAAATATCTAATCAAATATTTTATTGTAACACAATTTCCAAAATAATATATTATTACATTTTTCTTATTCAAATAATTCTTAACTCAGACTTTAATATAAAAACTGAAATAATATAAATTTGCATTAGCTATATTTTTCTACTCAATTTTATTCAACACAGAATAAATTAGAATTAGCTCGCACAATCAAGAAAATACTTATATTATACTTATATTTTCATACTTATGAATCAAGAAAATTTGATACAAAAAATATGTAATATAACAGTTTTGATTGCTATATAAATAAAAATATCGATTTAAAACATTTATCAAATAATGTTTTCTTATTATTTTAATCTCAAATATTTTTTGTAATTCATTTTAATATATCTGTCATTATATTTAGTTTTTGTGATCAAATAGACAAATTATATAAAAAATTATAATATTTAGTTTATTTACAATTTGCAGTCAAAGTGTTAAAAAAAAATATATACTTGCTTACAAAAAAAGTGGTCCCTAAATTTTTTCTTTTAAAGATCATACATTTTATGAAAGTTATATTTAATTTAATTCATTAATTAAATTATGATAATTAATAACATATTAATTATGATAATTAATAACATATTAATTACACAATAATATCATACCCCACTCTACACTCTAAGTAACTTAACCTCATTTGCTAAAATAAATAATAATTTTTATATTCATAATATTAGAAATACCTACCCAAGTTATTTTCCTAAAGAGACCGAACATATAGTTAGTATTGTTGTCGTGTACATATAATAGATAGGTATCGTCATGTACATTTTTTAATAATTTCTTTTTGTATTTACATTTTATTTAAAATTTTATAAATTGATTAGATTTTCTTTCTATTTGGTAATTTATATTTATAAATAAAATAATAATAGTAAGCAGAGTTAAATTTTATTTTTATCAAATGAAAAGGGCAAAAACCTAAAAATTCGCCATCATGTACATATAATAGATAGATGTCGTTGTTCATCTTCTCTGTTAATTTTGATGTAAACATGTTATGCTATTTTAGTTTGGATTCATTTATTTAGCTTTTATAGTAATGTAAATCTTCATGCATATTTGTTTTAAAAAACTTTAGTAGTAATTTTAAAACTAAACTAATGCTACATAAAAAAAGTCTATATATATATATATATTCTCATCTACTTCCTATGTCAGCTTCCTTTACAATCAAATAGAATATAAAAATGTCAAAGTTCTTCTTCTCATGTAATCTTCTTCTGTTTATTTGGCTTATGATCTCTCTTTTTAGTTTTTACATAGCTATAGTTTAAATGCTTTTATAATCTAAATTGAAAAATCTTTTCTAAATAAAGTTTAAAACAATATATCATATGTTTCAAATGAAATCTTTTAATTTGATATTTTGAAAAGTTTAACTTGATCATTTTTAAAATTTAAGTTACTTTTAGGTTGATAAAATATAAGGTGAGTAACAAATGCTCATAATTTTGTATTCGCTAATTTTGTATTACTTTGTTTAGATCTCATTCAGTTCTATATTTTCCAAATATACTTTTCGTTTATTTTTAATGTTTACAATGTACACAAAATATGTTTTATACTAATTTTGCGATCGCGTTCAATTTTGTTTGTGCGTTAATTATTTTGTTTTAAACATAAAAATTAATATTATTTTGTAATACACATAATGAATATAAACATATTATTTTGTTTTAAAATTATTTTCAAAACATATATTAACACTTATACACATATATAACTTAATATAATTTTTAATTAATATTTCATGTATAACCCACGCATCGCGTGGGCAACTTTCTAGTATGGTATATAAGAAAGTTGTTTATCGGACATATTCAGTTGCCTTTCAGCAACGGATAGATCTACAGTATAAAGGTCTATCTATGGAGCAAAAGATGGTCTTTACTTCCTACGCCACAATTGATTTTTCTGGAAATAGACTTGAAGGAGAAATTCCTGAATCTATCGGTCTCTTAAAGGCACTAATCGCACTCAACTTATCAAACAACGCCTTCACTGGCCATATTCCTTTGTCTTTGGCCAATCTTATGAAGCTCGAGTCACTAGACCTATCAAGTAACCAGCTCTCTGGAACTATTCCTAATGGACTAGGGACTCTCTCGTTTTTGGCGTACATGAACGTGTCTCACAACCAACTCAATGGTAAAATACCACAAGGAACACAAATAACTGGGCAACCAAAATCGTCATTTGAAGGAAATGCAGGGCTTTGTGGTTTCCCTCTTGAAGAAAGTTGCTTTGGGACTAATCAGGCTAAAGAAGAAGAAGACGATGAAGAAGAGGAACAAGTGTTGAACTGGGAAGGCGTGGCGATAGGGTATGGGTTTGGAGTGTTACTTGGATTGGCAGTAGCACAAATCATTGCTTTGTATAAACCGAAATCGCTAATTTGTTTGAGGAAGTGCGGACACCATTAAGATTTTCTTTTATTGCTTATGAGTTTGATCCTTCAATGTATGTCAAGTTGTTGTGTCTATCAATGTATTTTATTGAAGTATTTTTCTTACGTTTGTTGTATCTTAATCTGGCATGGATTTGTTCTTTATTTTCTCTAAAATAAGAATGGTGAATTCTCTATAGCTACTAGAGGCAATGTACACGGTGTAATGAGTCTAGTGACCGAGGTGAAATGCCCTTTTAAACTCACTATTCTCAGCAAAAATCAGCGAAATTTTTTACTTATTTAGATTACAAGAATCAGGTCAATTAATTATTTAGTTTTTTTAACGTAGTGTTTCCTCAAATAATGATATGGACTAATTGATAGTTGTCTAGATTTCATTACGTGTAAAATAGAAAAATTTATCCAATTAGACCAAAAAGAACTGGCATAACATTCAATCTTTTCTCGTTACTAGATTGACACAAATTTTGTGTTAAAAGTTCAAGAAACTATCAGCTTTACTTATTTAATGTTTTCAACGACAATTATGGCAAGTTTAAAAAAATCTGTCATACATCTATACTATTAAATCTGCCATTACTAACAAAAAAATATCAGTTGATCTTGATTATTTTTAAAATTATTTTATCCAAAAAAAAAGAAACAGAAAAAATAAAAGAATGAGAAATTTCTTCGTATACCAAGTTGTTTTTTCACAAACATCATATTTTTTTTTCTTTCAAAAATACCACAAAAATTTTATTTTCCCAAAAATACCATAAATACAAAACTTTAGGTGTAGATTTTTTTTCATTTTTAGGATGACTATTTATATGTAGGGTATAGTTTTTATAGCTAGGTTTTAGTGTTTAGCATTTAGAAATAAGTTTTAAATGTTTAAAAACTTAGTTTTTGTTTTTGCGGTATTCTTTTGAAAAATATAACTTATTATTGTATTTTTATAGAGATAAAGAGTATTTTGAACATAAAAATAACTCAAATAACCCTAATATTTGTTGATTACATATGTAATTAAACCCTTAATTTGGGTTAAATGAGTTTTTTTCCCAAATACTAATTCTAAGTGCGAGTGAAGGACATTAGGATTCACTTGTAGTTCCAATTTGTAGACTCTGTCGGAAACTAGTGGATTCCGAGTTACCAACTCGGGCATGCGTATAAGTTCTCTCGTTAACGGGAGTGAACTGGATAAAGTTTGAGTGTGTGCAATACTCTGCTTTCATTTTTTTCTTTTGCAATACTCTATTTTCTCCATCTGTTTCTCTTGAGATCTCTCATTCTTCTTTCCATTTCCATTTAAAGCAACTTAGAGAACAGCTTTAGAAATGAAAAGTTAAAAATGAACCAAGATAATGAAAGATCCCAAAAACTTCACTTGTATTTTAGTGGTTTTAAAACAATGCTTGATTGCCAAGACCACCTTTATTGCCTTATTGGTGGTCTCTTTGAGTAATCTTAGGTGATAAAATGAATTAAAATTAAATGTTAATGGTTTTTTGTAGTGCTAATTAAATGTTAAATCTTGATTATTGGTAAAGATGGTCTCTTAATTATTTTTGGTTCTTACAATCTACTATATTACTCCCTCTGTTTTATTATAAGTGATGTTTTAGCCAATTTTTTTTGTTTCAATATAAGTGATGTTTTCAAATTTCTATGCAAAAATTTAATGTATTTAATATGTTTTGACCAATTATATTTTACATCATATTTTCTTATTGGTTGAATTCATATTAATTAATGATATTTTTATCGAAAATGGGTAAGTTATATGTTTTATTATTTAGTGTGCCAAAACCTTAAACATCACTTATAATGAAACAGAGGGAGTAGTATTTTTTGCAAGAATTTTGAGAGAAAATTTAATGCACATTTATTGCAATATATTTAATTCCTTTTCTTTTAAAAATTTTGTGTTGTTGGAAAAGTTCGAACCTGATTATTTGATACAAAACAACTCTTTTAGATACAAAACAACTCTTTTACTACTAGAATACATCAATATATTAGTATTATAATGTTTACATATCGTATATATATATTTGAAAACGGGTTAAATTTGTTATGCGAAATACTTATACAGTAGATGCAATTATTATAAATTTTGTTTGTTTCAAAAAGAACATTTATACACGGGTCGTATGACGAGACGAGTTTGGATTGATATGAATAAATATTATAATATCATAAATCTTATTCTTCGAAACAGGCTAAAACTTCATTTTACTATTTTTTAACAACACCAATATAAAAATGTCGAATCAAACTGATTTAATTAAGTTTGATATTATGAATCCTTAATAAGTCCTAAGCAAATTCTAGCTTAATAGAAAAATCAGAAGTTAAAATAAAATAAAAAGTCAAAATTTTATTAGAGAAAAATTTAAGAGCCCTCCAATACATTTTTTGTGTATTAAGGCTAATCAGCTCACAAAAGCTACTAAACTCAATCCAATAACACCACGAAAGCTCCGGTGGTCTCTCGAAACACCAAACAAAAACTCTCATGCTCTCAATCTCTCTCCCCTTCGTCAGGTTACACGACGTAAAGAATGAAGAATCACAAAGATCTAAACCACGAGAGATCCGACAAAATTCGAAATCACTTTTCCTCGTCACCAGTTTCGTATATACAACAAACATCACCCAGCGTGAGGGCAAGGGAATATGATACAGCGACAAACGTATCCAATGTGTTTATCCTTTTGCCAATTTTATTCATTTGATTTTGAACATATATGTGAGAAATTTCAAACAGATGTGGTTTCAATCCACAAATTATACATTAGAAAAGTCATCTAACGTGGATCATGGGTTCAGTCGCTATGACGACTTCACTTAGTTCTAAGTTGTTCTAAGTCAATTTGTGCTCCACCATGCAAAGCTACATCATATCTCTATTTATATCAATCTCCCCTCTCACATTTCTTATATCAAAACTACATCCTATCTTTCTTAAAAGAAATATTTCATCATGTCTGAGTCGCTTATGCGTTTGAATTTTCTCTTGCTACTCTTACTCTCTTGTGTCTTCCCTTCAAGCTCTTTCACATTTAATGACCCTGTTGTTGGTCTTGTTGCCTGTGGTCCTCACCAGATTCAAGCCTTTACACAATTCAAGAATGAGTTTGATACTCGTGCTTGCAACCACAGTGACTCCTCGAATGGGGTGTGGTGCGATCACTCCACCGGCGCGGTCACGAAGATACGACTCAGGGCCTGTCTCAGTGGAACTCTGAAACCCAACAGTAGCCTCTACCAGTTTCGTCAGCTTCGTTCCCTTGATCTCTCTCAAAACAACTTCATCCCCTCTTCACTCCCTTCCGAGTTTGGAATGTTCAACAAATTAGAGGTTTTATTTCTTTCCAAAAATGGCTTCCTCGGCCAAGTTCCTTCTTCATTTAGTAACCTAAGCATGCTTTCTGCTTTAGTTATTTCTGATAACGAGCTCACTGGTAGTTTATCTACACAAGTGCGAAATCTATGCAAGCTCACATTTTTAGATGTTTCTCGTAATCACTTCTCTGGAACTCTGAATCCCAACAGTAGTCTCTTTAAGTTACACCACCTCACTTACCTTGATCTTGGTTACAACAACTTCACCGCCTCTTCACTCCCTTATGAATTTGGCAATCTCAACAAACTAGAGGTCTTGGATGTTTCCTCTAATAGCTTCTTCGGTCAAGTTCCTCCCACAATTAGTAATCTCACCCAGTTAACTAAGTTGTACCTTCACACAAACGGCTTCACTGGTAGTCTCCCACTTGTACAGAATCTAACCAAACTCTCCAATTTAGATCTTCGTGATAATCACTTCTCTGGAACCATCCCATCTTCTCTCTTCACTATGCCTCTCTTATCATATATTGATTTAAGTAGAAACAAACTCAACGGTTCTATTGAAGTTCCTAACTCTTCTTCGCCGTTAAGGCTAGAGAGTTTGTACCTAGGTGAAAACCAATTTGAAGGAAATATCCTAGAGCCTATCTCAAAGCTCATCAACCTCAAAGAGCTCGACCTTTCTTTCCTAAAAACAAGCTACCCAATTGACTTACGACTCTTCTCCTCTCTCAAATCTTTGTTGCTACTAGATCTTTCTGGTATTTGGATATCCCAGCCTAGTTTAAGTTTGGATTCATACATCCCATCAACACTCGAAGCGCTGCGTTTGAAGCAATGCAACATCAGTGATTTCCCAAACATCTTAAAGACACTTCAGAATTTGAAGTATATTTCCCTAACCAAGAATAAAATCAGTGGGAAAATCCCAGAGTGGTTATGGAGCCTTCCTCATCTGAGCTCAGTGTTCATGTCATATAATTTGTTAACTGGCTTTCAAGGTTCATCAGAAGTTTTATTAAATTCATCGGTGCAAATCTTAGTTTTGGAGTCAAACAGTTTAGAAGGAGCATTCCCACATCTACCGCTCTCTATCAACTTCTTCTCTGCATTTAACAATAGTTTCAGAGGCGACATACCTCTTTCAGTCTGCAATAGAAGCTCGCTGGATGTCCTTAATCTAAGCTACAACAATTTCACCGGTCCAATTCCTCCATGTCTGAGTAACTTCTTGATTTTGAACCTCCGGAAGAATAACTTGGAAGGAAGTATTCCAGACAAGTATGCTGCGGACGCACCTCTACAGGCACTCGACGTTGGGTACAATCGATTAACCGGAAAGCTTCCAAGGTCTCTTCTAAATTGCTCTGGTCTACAGTTTCTAAGTGTGGAATATAACGAAATCGAAGATACATTTCCTTTCTCCCTTAAGGCTTTATCGAAATTGCAAATCCTTACTCTCCGTTCAAACAAATTCTACGGTTCTATATCTCCTCCTAATAATGGTCCTTTGGGGTTTCTTGAGCTGAGGATACTTGAGATAGCTGATAATAAATTTACTGGAAGCTTGCCCTCAGATTTTTTTGTGAATTGGAAAGCATCTTCACTCACGATGAATGAAGATTTGGGTCCATGAAAAGTTTGTTTGCATGACCTATAGAGTCTCCTATCAGC